TTTAGTAGGCAGGACATTACCCATTCGGATACATCAGTGATAATGATAAAATGCTTATAAGCTGTCAAGTCAACGATTAATAAAATAATAAAATCAACAGTAGTTTTAATTTATATTAATTCAAATTTATTAGAGTATATTAAAAATTTTTTAAATAATTATCTAAAATTTATTTTTATAATAAACTAACTATAAAGATCTGGTTATAGTCTTAAGAAGTTGAATTAAAATTAATAATTAATGTTAAATAATGAGGCCTTTATGCTATAATTACATTTTAATAGATAATTAAGGTTATTAAAGTAATTTGTATTCAAATTTATAGCTTCAATTCAATTTATACTATTATTTAATAAGTTAAATCAATGATAATCTTGTTTAAATATATAATTAAATTAGATAAATCAAAGATAAAATCTTTAAAGACAAACGATATCGAAATTTGATTGCAAATGATTCTACTTTAAAATTATCACCTAAAATCTTAATAATGTTTTAAAGATTATTCCACTTGATAAAAGTTTGAGTTGATTAATATATTTTTATTTCCGAATGAATACCAACTTGTTTATATCCTATTTAATCTAGTAGAGTTAACAAACATATGACCAAATTTTTGGTTCAAAGAATCATAAGTGTTTCACCTAAGCCTCCGAAAAACAATTCAAAACTATAATGGCACTTTTAATTTTTGATGGGTTTCTTTGTTTTCTTGTCAAATAAGCTTTAAATAAACCTCGTAGAAATAGAAATAAATGAGAAGATGCAGAATATGAGACTATATGACTATTAATATCATAACTCCTAAAAAGGATGATACTTTTGTCTTTAGAAAAAGAATAAATATCTTTGGTTGCTTAATGGAGCTGGTTAATAGTATACATATCAATATTAATATTGAAGATTATGGATCAGATTAGCTAAATGATGTTTGATATGTTCTTACTATGCTAAATATATTAAAATTCTTCATTAATTTTTAGACCCTTTTAGAATGGTTAATTTAAAATATTATTCATGAATGGCACATTTATACTTAAAATTGTTTGGCGATTCAAAAAATAAAAAAAAGTTCAATATATTCTAATGAATCTTGATTATATTTGTTTTCCTTCTTTTGAGGAATAAAAAATTTTTAAATCAGTATCATTAGTTCTAAAAGAATAGTACGTAAAAATTGCGTCTACTAAATAGAGAATTTTCAAATAATGTGTAAAATGTTACTATAGCCACTTTCCATTTATGATTTACTTAATTATCCAAGAAATAGATGATGAGTTACTTAGCAGAATTACTTAAGATACAGTTATAATAAAATTTTCTATCCCATTGAATTATTAAAAATTATAATATGGGACATTAGACAAGGACACAAAAATATATATGAATGATTTTCTTTGTATTCTTGTCCAAGCATCAAGATCCTACAGGTCACTGGGACAACTTGATTGTATCAGAAACCTTGACCAAAAGTTTGGTAAATTCAATAATTCTTCTTCGTCAACAGTCAACAATGTGATTGTATTAATGGGTACTATTCAACCCATTAAATCCTTAATGTTAGAAATGTCACTAATTATGTTATGTTAAACTTGTGTTGGACCTACTTCTGATGATTGTTTAACTTGCAATAATATTTTATCAATTTCGATTCCAAAATAAGTTGCGAATTATGCAAATTAGTAAGACCCTGAATAAGATAGTTAAACAGTAAAAATGAAAGATATCAATCCCTAAAAAACGAACATATTCTGTTCTTCCTCCAAACACTAATTCTAATTCTTCGGTTAAAATTCCAAATTTGGTTATAGACTTTCATTGCAGCCATATGCACACATATTACTATAAAAACTAATTACACAAGATACTTCTGCTGGATAATTTAAATATCAATCCAATGTGTTACAAATTTCACCTTATTTTATTGTAAAAGCATTAAAAACTCATTATATTAATTAATTTTATATAAATGTTGAAGCTTTTGAACATTTAATATACTTGCATTTCTTAATATCAATATTCCAAAAAACATCCTTCCTAAAAAGCATTCTTAAAAAAATGAGATTATTATTATTAATCAAAACAATTAATAACCTTAATACTACAATTTGACTAATTCTAGCGACTGTACAAGATGATATGAATTTTTTGAATTCTGTATTATCATCATAATTTGAATTCTAAGACAAATCTTCAAAAACTCTAAATTTAAGTATGGTATAGAATGCTTGAGAAATTTAAATCAACTGAACATGTTTCTTAATAATTCTCAATATCAATATATGTAAACGTAGTTCCTGTATAATTATTACAATTTGATTATAATGTAGTGCAAGTTACTAGTTTATTTAATTAACGTTAATGTATAATACTATTTACTATTAATATTCAAACAATAACAACTTTCCACAATTATTATGATTAAATGGAATAATACCATAGTAAATATAATTATATATTTATATTAATAAATAACTAGGTCTGCGCTACATCAAACTCAAATTTAATTAGGTATATTCATCTAATTAGTAGTTTGATTCACAAAGTATTAAATAGTGTTTAACTAATAATATTTATAACTTGTATAGAAAAGGCTCATTTGTAGTTAATAGCTGAAGCTAATAAGAAGATGCTACATTATAATCTGCTAGTACAGATAACTCTATTGGTGTATGGGATTATAACGCAGCGTAATCAAAAGCTAAATTGCGTGGCCACGGTAATACAGTTTACTCAGTATTCTTCTCTCCTGATGGTAGTACTTTAGCATCATCATCTGGTAGTGGTTCATTTTGGAGTAATGATAACTCTATCCGTTTATGGGATGTTAAGACAGGATACTAAAAAGTCAAATTAACTGGTCATATTGGAACAGTCTACTCAGTATGTTTCTCACCAGATGGAAATACTTTAGCATCTAGTGGTGCAGATAAGTCTATCCTTTTATGGGATGTTAAAACAGGTGAAAAAAGAGCCAAATTAATTGGTCATATTGGAACAGTATATTCTATACGCTTCTCTCCTGATGGTACTACATTAGCATCTGCATCTGGTGGTTCATTTTTGGGTATTGATAACACTATCCGTTTATGGGATGTTAAGACAGGAAAATAAAAAGCCAAAATGAGTGGTCATAGTGGACCAATCTTCTCAGTATGCTTCTCACCAGATGGAACTACTTTAGCAACTAGTAGTGAAGATAAATCTGTCCGTTTATGGGATGTTGAAACAGGTGAATAAACAGCAAAATTAGTTGGGCATAGCAAATAAATCTGGTCTGTTAGTTTCTCACCAGATGGAACTACTTTAGCATCTGGTAGTGATGATAAGTCTATTCGTTTATGGGATGTTAAAACAAAAGAATAAAAAGCCAAATTAGATGGTCATACTCATTATGTCGGCTAAGTAAGCTTCTCTCCTGATGGTACTACATTAGCATCTGGTAGTGCAGATACGTCAATCCGTTTATGGGATGTTAAGACAGGATAATAAAAAGCCAAATTAGATAGCCATCGTGATTGGGTCTACTCAGTATCCTTCTCTCCTGATGGCAATACATTAGCATCTGGTAGTCGTGATAATACTATTCATTTATGGGGGGCTAAATTGGACTGATTATATGTTTATGCATATTTATGAGCTATGATTATTGAAATTGGTCATTTTTCTATTTTTTATATTTGAAAGTCTTCAACAATACTGTAAGACATATATGAATAAATTTTTCAAACGATAAATTTAATGCCCATTAGCCTATTATATAGATTAATTAAGTAATTTTGATATTAATGACTTTTGTAGAGAATTATTTCTCTTATAACTTTTCTATTATATTTGAAAAATTGTGAATATTATTATAATTAATAAAAGTGACTATTTAAATGCCAAAAAAATATTAAATTTTAGATGCTTATATGATAAGCAAATACTTTAAGTAAAATAAATGTAGTTTATAATGATAAAATGATATAAAAAAAAATTGTAAAAATATGATTCAACCATGTACTTATTCAATTAAGACTATGACATTTGAAAAATTAAAATAACAATGATACTTTCATAAAAAAACCTTTATTTTTGAAAGTATTTATTTATTCTTTAAAATGAATAGATTTGAAAAAGCATCAAAATTTTGATCTCCAACAAAATTGATATAGAAATTTTATGGTACTCAATACTCTAATTTATTGTTATTTGGATTGAGTAGATTTGAAAAGGATTGTAATTTACAGTAAAACAAAATGGAAACCTTTCATCAAAATAATTGAATTCATGCAATGGGTTTAAAATAAGATATCATTATTACGATTTTTTGGTTTCTAATTAAACTTTTGACTATCTATTAACAATTCATTCATGTAAATTAGTATGAGAACACTACATTTCTAATCTAAAATATTTTTAATTTGCCTATAAACCAATATATAATTTATTTTTTCCCATAAGAAAAGGAATTTTATGTAATTTATGAGTGGTTGTTAAAAATCTGATTTCTTTTATAAAAAACTTAATAGAAGCAAGGATTAATTATTTTTAAGATTCAATATAATCAGGTTTTACTTTCTAAAGTAGAATTAAGGGAAATTGTCATTAATAGTAATTCACTTAAAATCCTTATAAATTGTTACAAATATATAATTTTTTTAAATTTTAACAGCAATTAGTAAACCATAAACCTTATTAATGCTTAACTTGATATGCATAAAATACATCCTCTATTTAAACAAGCTAAACTAGTTATTCTTTAGTAGTTTCTGATAAAATGAAAGGGGAATAAAGTTTAATTTTCTTTTTTAATTTTTTATCGGACTAATTCAAATGAATAATGTA